AGAGGAAAGGGACACTTTTTCTGGATCCGGAAACCTGGGTTTATTTTAACCTCCATTATTACAAGAGACACCTCAGCACTCAAAAAGAGGGCTGATATCTTTAAGAGCACACTAATCAAAAATGGAAGCTTTCCCAAACTGAACTGTCTCATATAAATCAATGAAATGCATTTGTGTGAATTCAACATATAATTATAGCAATAACATCAACAAGTTTATTCAGTATTACCATTTCTGTACAGGTGTTACCGATTAAAAAAAATTAAATTAAAAAAGAAAATGAAAATAAAATAGTAGGGAGTTTAAGATACCACGACGATGATGGCCACAAAAACGTCGCTTAAAAAGTGAATTTCCATTCTTTCAGTCTCTATCGCGGTTACTCCAACCATTTACTTTGTCAAATGTAAGCGAAGTCTTTGTCAGCCAAATTCCTAAGAATCATATTCAAGTTCAGGAACGGGGGCGTAGCTAAGATTTTTCAAGGTTTCAAGGAGGGAGGGGGGGGCTAACACTATCACCATGTCAAACCCAGGTTACTTACCAGATTGGCATGTCGACATCCAGGCCGTGTTTTACTAAACGACAAGCCTACAAACTAGCTGCATAGGTTAATTACGTTCCACATAGCATAAATTGCTCTATTTTAGTTATGAAAAGGAACATGGTCCACTGTAAATGGAGTAATTAACAATCTAGCACTGGAAAAGATTTATTGCATGTTGATTCTTCAGATTCGTGCGTTTTGGCCACCTGAATTATAGGGACGAAAAACAATTATGTCATAAGGGGGGGGGGGGGGGCACCCCAGAACCACCCCCTGGCTACACCCCTGATGAGGAGAAAGAAAATTTCGCCATCGCTTGTTTACGTCCCCCATAAAACGTGAAATTTGGCATTTTCCTGTCCTGGTCGTGCAGTGATGGCTAAAAAAATGTACAAAAAACGTGCAGAGTTGTTGCTTTGCCTAGATTCATTTCAACCTATTGCCTTTTTGACGTTCTCTTTGTCATCACCGTGGCATCTTAAAGTCCGTAGTGATGATTCTTTTATGCTGTCTTTGTTGGTTAATTATTAACAAACCCCGGCCCAACCTCTAATCAGGGGGAACCTCTATTCAAGGGACACTTGCTTTGGTCCTGAGGGTGTCCCCTGAATAGAGGTTTCATTGTATTTGTTTTATCTATTGCTTCAAGTTTAATTTTTTTGATTTCAAAGCTCACTTAATAACTTTCTGTGCATTGAACTGTGAGCCTGTCGACTTTCTTGATTGGTATTATTATGATAATCTTTGATAACTAAGACTTTTTTATGCTCCATTTCTTGTACACTGTACAAGTTAAAATTCACACCAAATAGTATTGCATGAAACCTGAAATGATGCGACAATGGCCGCTATTGTCAAATGAAATGTACCCTATGTTATAAAATTATTCTTCAGGTATTATTAAGTCAGTCCGATAATGAGTTTTTTGTGTGTCTTGCATAAAAATGGTTATCATCTTAATATATTTTTTAATCACTTATTACCCTTCTTTGTTCAAATTATAATCTTTCATCTAATGTTGGGGAGAGAAGAAGTTGGCTGACTTGCTCATGGTAGTGAATTAAGGGAGATGTGGTGTGGCCCTCTTCCTAAAGGTCTGGTGACGAGCCAGGGACCACATGGTCTAGTGTATACTGGGCAACCTCATAGGGATTGGGTGCGAAAACAGTGAACAAACAAAGTAACAATGGAACCTAGCCCGAAACAAAAAAGCTGCGACATATAGGAATCCACACAAATTACAGGTTCTAAAGAGCTGCAAGGCTAAGGTTTTGACAAATGATTTTGAGCTAAACATATCGCAAAAAAATTTTGCTGTAGCTGATGGCGTCTTGGTTAAATTAGCCTGTGAAACTCATAATTATGTATGTCCGGTTCTTCGGAGGGAGCGAAGCGACGACCGGAAATAGTCTGCGTTTCGCAGGCTGTGGATAAATGGGGTGTGAATATGGTTGTTTTCAGTTGTTATTTTAAGGTTCCAGAAATGCTTGTTGATAAGAAGGTCCCTTTTTTTGAAGTAGGTTCTTGTTCTTGGGGTACTTATTGGCAATTTAGGTTAGGTAGGTTCTTAATTAGGTTCTTACGAGTAATTTTTATGAAGGATATAATAGATTGTTGATAACGAGAATAATACATAAATCTTCTGTTTATTCACAATTATGATAACCCTAAAAAAAACTTATTACCAGATATCATACAGTTTAGAACAGTATGTTTTTGTTGTACTTAAATTTACAACTCAAAGTTAGTTACACTCCTTTGTTAAATTGTTTAACATAATTTAGCTGCATATAATAACCTGCTTGATTTTGCTTGCCTAAACAGGTTCTTGTATTCTTAAGTATTAAAGTGCAGATTTCTGCCAGGACCACAGGTTCTTATTAGCGGGTGTTCACTGTAACTGCCTCTACAGTCAAACCAGTCAAACCTGTATTAAGCGGACCTCTATCATCCTCGAAGACCCAGGGGCAGTCAGTTGGGTCGGGGGAAAAGGCGCGACAAAAGTTTTAAGTAAGGGCGGAAGAGCCCTTGAGTACCGACTCTCACCGGACCATTTCCAAAAATTCAAGCGGATGTCGGCTCCTGATTGGGCACAAAAAAAGCTTTGTATCACTGTGGCCAATCGGCGAACACATCCCCTAAGTTCTTTTCGTGTGTTCATACACGACGGCTGTTGTCTCGATGACGGCTTGTCTGGCTCATGCACGAAAGAAATTCACGCAGTCAGGAAACTTTCAGTTGGATATAAAATCCACATTTCAAAATACTGTCTGCCTGAAAACTAAAGACGCTTTTCCAAAAATACAAGCTTCAGCTTACAACAGGTATTCACTCTTGCATCGGCCTCGTCTTGCGTAAATATATTTGTAGAGAGTTTTTAAAAGATACCACGACGTAAACGTTGCATGGAAAAGTGAATTGATATTTTTTTCAGTCTCTATTCCAACTCGCTTACTTTGTTAAATGCAAGCGAACTCTTCTGGAGCTGAATTTCTATCAACCATATCAAAGTTTATGAAGATAATGAATTTTGTCATTGCTTATTTACGTCATTCACATAACGTGAAATTAGGCATTTTCACGGTTAGTCGTGCAGTTGATGGCAAAGAAATGTACAAAAAAGCGTGATGCACGTGCAAAATTGTTGTTTTGCCTTGTCAAGCTATTTCTCATTTGACTTTCTCGTCGCTGCCGCATCTTAAACTTCCTATTATTTACGATACATTGTGATCCGCCAAAAACAGAATATTTGAGCCAAATTCAATTGCTCCGGCTGATAGCATCCCAAACGTTTTTTCGACTCATCGGTAGTTCCTTCGTTTCTGGTTAGGGAAATAGCAAATAAAAGTTTCCCTTGCACGCACAAGCTTGGTGAACGACCGGGCAAGTGTGGCGAGACAATAGCCGTCGTGTGCGAACTCACGTAAAGAACTTAGGAGAAACTGTTCGCCGTTTGGGCACAATAATACAAAGCATTTTTTGTGCCCAATCATTAGCCGGCAACCGCTTGAATTTTTGGAAATAGTTCGGTGAGAGGTGGTACCCAGGGGGTCTTTCGCCCGTGCTTGAAAACTTTCGTTCCGCCTTTTCTCCCGATCCGACTGACTGCCCCTGGGTCTCCGAGGATGACCTCTCTAAGCGGTCACCAATCAAAGTCCTGGAAATAGCTTCCCTCAATTATGGTAAAAACTGATCTGTATTAAGCTTTTACCTCTATTAAGCAGACGTGGTCACCTGTTTTTGAGGTCCCAATGAGTAATTTGTTATTGTCTTTACCTCTATCAAACTGTCCCTTTGACAAGATGTGCCACACTAGTGCAAAAGCATACACTGTGTAGGGTGTTTAGTGGTCTTGTACAGACTTGCCAACCCCCAAAAGGCAAAAAAAGTGAGATTCTGAACCTTGAGCTGGGAAAAGTAGTGCAGGGAAATGGGTATAAAGCGGCGGGCCATAAATTATGAGGCAAAACAAAGGATCGTGGTTAATTTTAATACTGAGAGATTACAACAAAATCATGCACATTTTGGTACCTTAGGGACTTGTCAGAAATTAGCAGGGGGGAGGGGGGTGGGAATTTTAAATTTGGGTTGGGAAATGAGGTGACCCATCCCTGCAATGGGAGTGAAAGTTGCTAACCCTCCCCTTTACCTTGGCCTAAAATATCATGACCCTCCCCCTCTAGTATAAATGATAAAATCTAGTTCTTGCAATACACTAGGGTGAGTCAGTATTATGAAAGCTCAAAATATATTTCTAATATGTTCTTTGTAATGCCATATACATACATTTTAGATGACAGCATTAAGAATCCGACTCTAATTCTGACAGCTGATCACTCGACCCTCCTATTTCTCCTAGTTTTTTTTTACAAAATAAAGAACTTCTTTTTTCTTCTGTGGGTGAACCTCTACATGATCACGGACACATATTTACATGATCCTCCCCCTTTTAACGGCCCATTTTTCATGACCCCACCCTTTTCTGCAGTCTCAAAAAGGCGTGACCCTCCCTCTGTTTCCACCCCCTCCCCCCCTGCTAATTTCTGACAAGTCCCTTGTGGGTCAAAAAAGATGTTGGGGGAAAGGACAGAACTTTTCGTTTTTTCTTTGGTCCGTACATTAAATTGAGCACCGAAAATTTACCAATCTAGATTAAGAAGTACAAGTTATGCATGGTGAAAAAAAAACAACAACAACAGCAACAAAAAAAACGACAATATAAATATGAGCGGTCTTGACAAATGATTTTGATTAGAAAATATTGAACTCATTTTGCTGTAACTGGGAGCATAACTGTATATACTGTAGCAAGTGAGATCTCAGTGAAATGGGCTGTGAATAGCTGTGTTTAGTTGTTATTTTACAGAAACTACTGCCACTATAGTCAATGTAAATTATATTATATCATTATCTTTCCTTACCGTTTTAGTTTAAAATTACGCCTAAAACTACAATGGTGGTCACCAAGGATACAGTTACGATTGAAGAACTAATGCGATGGTACACTCTTCAAGAAGGACACACTGTTCAACTAAAAGATGCTGATCCAAATGAGCTTCAGCTTTTTATTGACAATATGCCCGCCTCTACCAAAGGTAAGAGTGTGAAATATGGTTTTTGATAAAAAGATGAATAAGATTGAACTTACTGTATGTACGTAAGTTTAGAAACAGGGAGCTCAAGCTTATGACGAGAGTACAGTTGACTCCCGATAACTCGAACCCTCGCTAACTCGAACCAAAATCGATTTCCCCTGGAATTCCGTCATACATTTACTGTAATTTTACCCTCGGTAACTTGAACCGTCGATAACTCGAACCTCCCGATAACTCGAAGTAATTTTTGTTTCCCCTCAGATCAATTATATATAATTTTACCCTCGATAACTCGAACCATGTTTTGAGCCCTTAAAAAGTAGGTAAAAAACAGTGTACTGGCATCCGAAACATTGAATTTTGAATTTCCCATTGACGTGTACGCATATAGTTTTCTAATGGAGGCTGATGTTGTTTGTCACAAATCTATGTGAAGCAGCTTCACTTTTCAAAACAGTAAAACCCATGCTCTATTTAGGCAATGGTTGCGTTCCGTTCTGATTTATAATGTAGAAGTATCTTTCAATTTTCACTTAACATTTCTACAATTAAGTGTGATTAAAATGTTCACTGTGCAGTAAAAACTGTTTTTTCCTTACTCACGGCAAGGTTTCATCGAGCTCCCGATAACTCGAACTCTTTTCGATTTCCCTTGAAGGTTCGAGTTATCGGGAGTCGACTGTAGTTAGTTTGGTTTTTTGAATTGAGAAGCATATGGTTTAACCCGCACATATGTATGAATAGCCGGGCTTAAATATTTAACATTGATGAGTGAAATATCCAGACTAAATTTTATAAATTTTATAAACATTAACGCCGGCTTATGAATTTGGTCGACCGGCAATCCTCGCGTCAAAACGCGCTGTGGACAGTGTCAAGAGGGTTAGACTACAAGAACAACATTGATGTACTTAAAAAGAGCATAATATCGGGCTGGCCCCAATTCTAGTGATTTGGAGTCAACAAAGCAGATCATATTTAAGACTAAATGAAAGCTTAGAGTCAAACATTAGTTAGACTTTCTGAAAGCCCGTTTCCATTTTTCTGTTTTTTTTTTAGACTATTTCTCTTTACACGTTCTGTGGGTAATTTATCAACCAATACGAGATGGATCTGGGAAGAGCCACATGATTGTATTTTTTACCCCATCATTTGGTTGTTTCTAAAGGCGTATCTCACGTAAGCCCAGAATGTTGAAACGCTCAATAGTGCTAGCCTATCCATCGCAAAATTAAACAAGACTTACCTGTAAGTTGAAGTTTGACTGAGATTGCTGGGAACCGGTAAAAGAAAAAAGGAAATATAGTTTGAAATAGAGTACTAGCCCGCACAAGGCTTCAAACTAGAGTAACGGAAAGAAATATACATGTAGAATACTACATGGAACGAGTACGCGCGTACGGTCTTTGTGCACGATGGGAGCTCCCATTGCCTCATAATGTTTCCTGAACTTCGCTTGGCAGGACATTTCAACTGAACTGACTAAACAATTCAAGACGTCCAAAAGCAGTATTTTATGGTACATGTAGTCTGTGTCGGGAAAGAGGTCACTTGACGGCCAGTAAGTACTTTTAGTATGTACCAAAACAGTGGATAGTGTTTTTCGCGCGCTCTGATTGGCTACTCAATCAGTGACTATCCTGCACTATTCACTGATTCACCTCCAGTTCCTTCGAGCGAGCGACGCCAAACTCGCGTAGGTTGCGAGCAAAATGCTTTCCCGGTTTGCTGCCGTAACAAACTAAGAAATTTCACAACTAATCAAGGAAGCTATTTCCGAAATACATGAAGAAGGTGACGAAGTTCGGTTTGGAAGTTTTAACAGGTAAAGCTTTGTCTTTTTGACTTGAATAGTTATCGATAAAACAGGTGAAAAAGTTTTTTGTTTACAAATGCAAATTAAGCGTAAGTCTTGCGTTACTTTATTTAGTTGACTTGTTCATAAATAAGCTTAAAACTAAATTTAATAATCTTTTTTACAGAATTATTTTAAATACAAACAGAATTCACAACTCCTTTTGAAGAAACTTCGCCGCAAGAGCAAAAAAAACGCCTTCAAAAGTTTTATTTGTCGCTAAGAAAAAGCGACGACCGCGGCCGTTCGGTCATCGCGCGCCAAAATTGTAATAGTTGGCAACAGTAAATGAGTTAAAAATCATTATTTTGTGCTCAATTATCTCACTGTTTTAGTATATACTAAAACAATTATTCACCTCAGTGTCGGTGGCTAGTATTGGATATTTACCTCGCCGCTTCGCCGCCTCGGTAAATATCCAATACTAGCCACCTCCACTTCGGTGAATAACTGTTATTGAAAAAAAGTGTTCAAAATGACACATGAAAAAGTCTGGAGTACATATCATCGAAAGGGCAAACTTTTGATCATTCCAAGTGGCTTCGTCCCGTGAAGGAGTCAATTGCAGCAATTAAAGGGAAGCGACGGAAGAATTATCGAAAAGCAAACGAAAGGAGACTTTGATTAACAGTCTAGATAAACGTCATATGTGTACATTGCTATCGCTCTGTCGGGTCTGTCACAGCTAACAACCATGAGAGGAAAATCATCATCGGAGACGATGGACTCCCAATGCTCTTTGCTAATGTGAATGTTATAGCTGACTTCAGTTGGTAATTACCTGATAATCTGAAAAGATGTTTTTAGAAATTAAAATTGATCGTCTGTCAAAATGCTTTTTAGCGAATCGACTGTATCATACGTCTTGTATGATTTCTTTAGCATGCGATTTCCTTGGGAGCACGTTTCCTAACCTGAAATCTAAAATACATTTATGCCGGTAAAAATGAGGGTTCGCTCAAGGAAGGAACTGTTTTTGAGAAATGGCAGTTAACAAACAAACAACCCTTAGAGACGATGGGTGCAACTAATTCTGAATATTAATTTCATCTTCTTTTGACGGGTTGTTTTGTATTCTCTCCGTTTGACGCACGTTTTATTTTGTATAAAATTCAAAATTTCTCCGCCTAACGATTTGTTGACTACCAAGTGGTTTCGTCCATTTACACTATTTTTTTTTTACTTTTGTGCCATATTTATATTCAGACGTAAAAAACTGAGAGTTTTTTACTGTTTAACTTTTAATATATTCCCGGTATTTTAAATTTTAAAACAAGGCCATTATTGTCAAATGCTCTTTAAATCCCATCCGTTTGCGAAGATCAAATGCAGCTGTGGGAGCAATGTAATGTTTGGTACAATTGATGCAGTGATCTTGCTTATGAGAACCGCATAGAAAGGACAGTTAGTAGCCTTAGAGGTGTCTTTATAAGTGTCTTCATATCATTGTACATGCAGTACTCTTTCATCATTGCTGATCCTAGCAGTATGTGGGAAGTGTGCCACATATGAACCTAGTAAATGGCTTAGTAGCCTTACCATCAGTGTCTCTGTATCATTATACAGTACTTTTCCATCTTTGCTGATCCTAGCAGTATGTAGGGCGTGTGTCACATATGAACCTAGTAAATGGCTCGGCAGCCTTCCCATTAGCGTGAGATCATGCCCTCGCCCTATTATCCCTTTAAGTCTCTCACGGGAAGAGGGCATGATACATTTCTTTATCGGATCACATGTAAAAAAGCCAGAATCTGGACTTTTTTCTGATTGGATAGGAAACAATACGGATGATTTGCGCTGTTCCAATTGGCCAAAATGCCGCCATCCGTTAGTTGTTGTTGATTTCAGTCTGCATTTTTGCTTGCGTCATGAGCAGTGAATACACGCGCGAGTTCGTTATAAAATTTCTGCCGGCTGAGTTTTCTTAAATTTGAAGAACGCCTAAATAGAAATTTCACCCATTGAAATATTTTCCATCTCATCGTATACTAAAAAGTTGCAGTCAAAAATTCACCGATCATTTGAATGCAATTTGATACCGGCTACAAGTTACAGAAGCGACAAACGGGTTCACTTTTCAAATAATCAATTCATGAATGGAATCTTGACCTGGTTTGACTGTAATTCCTCCTTCAGAAACCTGCGAATTATTCTGAGCCAGCCTTCGCTTTCACAACACCTTTCAGTTCGTAAAATATGGTGCTTCAGCCTAATTTTTTTTCACTGCTTTCGGCACAGAACGAAGTCAACGAGCTTTAACCAGTAAATTCTTTATTATTTGTAGCTGTTAAATAAAGGTACGGCAGCTCCAGCTAGCAGTATTTGAACACATTTAAAATTCTTTTTAGGAAGCGCCATCTGAACATGGACGTACTTAAAAATTTTCTTTTCCCTAAAATTGATTTCAAGAGACATTATTTGCGCCAAAATTTGATTCCCGTATGGTAAACGCTTATTGGCAACCTATTGGCTAATAACATGACAGGTCAAGGAGACGTTAGATTATGTAAATTAGGGGGTGGTTAACGGCTTGTTAAATGAATGTATCAGGCGTTATTTTTTTCCTCTCTCGAGCCAAAGGAACAAAGAAGCAAAAAAAAAAAAAAAAACGCCTGATCTCAGGTTACCTTCCCATCTGTGTCTCTGTATCGTTATACAGTACTCTTTCATCATATCTGATCCTAGCAGTATGTAGGAAGTGTGTCACATATGAACCTAGTAAATGGCTTGGCAGCCTTCCCATCTGTGTCTCTGTATCATTATACAGTACTCTTTCATCATTGCTGATCGTAGAAGTATGTAGAACGTGTGTGAGTCTTTTTACTCTTTTTTTGTATTCTCCTCAGAAAATATGGAGGATCTACGTGGATCAAGCGTACAAACGCCTGCACTTGGTGGAAACTTTCCAGGGCCATCAAGGGAAATACGGCAGCACGAAGCAAATTTAGAGAGGCAGCTCAGAGAGATGCGGCAACGCGAAGAAAGCTTACAAAGCCAGCTTAGGGAGATGCGGCAACGTGAAGAAAACTTACAAAGGCAGCTGAGGGATACTCAGCAACGTGAAGAAAACTCGCAAAGGCAGGTGAGGGAGATGCAGCAAAACTCACAAAGGCAGTTAAGCGAGATGCAGCAAAACTCACAAAGGCAGCTCAGGGAGATGCAGCAACGTGAAGAAAATTTGCGAAGACAGTTGAGAGAAAGAGACCAGGAAGTAAATGAACTTGAGTTAAGTCTTTCGTTAGCCCAGCAAACAATAAGTGAACAGCAACAACAGGAAACATGCGATTGGGTCATTTCCCGCGATGACATTCAAATGACCAATAAATGCCTTGGCAGGGGAGGCTGGGGAAGTGTTTATGAAGGCGTGTATTGTGGCTGCACTGTAGCAGTAAAGCAAATTCATGATCTGATTCTCTCCCCTCATAACATACATCTTTTTGAGAGAGAAATGAATATTGCATCCAAGTGCCGCCATCCTCACTTGCTTCAGTTTATCGGCGCCACTAACGATGAGGGAAACCCTCTGTTTGTGACCGAGCTGATGGAGAAAAGTTTGCGAGCTCTGTTAGAACAGCGACAACTCGCCGAAATAGAAATACGCGTAATTTCTCTGGATGTAGCCCGAGCAATTAACTATCTTCATCAGAAGAAACCAGAGCCTATCATTCACCGGGATGTGAGCAGTGCGAATGTGTTGCTATGGCGACAGGGTGACCAATGGAGAGGCAAAGTGTCAGATTATGGCACTGCTAATTTCATGCAGCAGACCATGACAGTAGCTCCTGGAGCTATGATTTACAGCGCTCCTGAAGCGCTTACATCAAACCAAACAGTCAAGGTAGGTTTTAGTGAATTTAGAATTTTTTTATTCAGCACTGGTTTATCAACATCTTCAGACTTCAAAGAGACGCGTTGGTGCAGTCATCTTGAGCGCGTAGCTACTTTAAGGCCAGGTTGTTCTCAGCTAGGAAATCCGAACAGATGAAAAATTCTTGGGGGATAAAAATATGCCTATATCTACCGTTTAAATACTAAAATACGTTCAACAATGCTATTTTTAAGTGGTTTTGAACTATGTTCTCGTTGGGTGCCCCTGTTAAACCATCACCATTTGAACTCAAATGTACATGGCTCCATTATTATGGTCGTTTTCAGGAGTTAGCTACAATGAGGGACAAAAGTGTTGAGACACTTCCGTAAAATGGCCCCTTTTTGCATAGTGGACATACCTATCCCCTTACCCTGTTTACCCCAACCCCTTCCCCCCAAAATCAATGTTGTATTTTGGACCCTGAAGTCTTTCTTTTACTTCAGACAACATTGATTCGGGATTTACGGCGTTTAAGGGGAACGAAATAATACATGAATTAAATGTTTGATAAAAGCACCCGTTTTAAACAAGTGTGTCAGATACTTTTGTCCGTGATTGTAGGTGTTTATGTCACGAAAACAAATTAAGCTGCAGGCGTCTGTTGTGATTTAAATGTTTCTCATTAGTTCTTCAGTTAATCATTGTGGCGACTTCGTAGACAAAACTGATAGGACCGGTTTTTTAAACGAAGTCCAACTTATGCCGCGGTTTAGGAAATCTTGGGACCTCCATGTCTCTTCCTGAGTGAGTTCTTTTAAGAAGATAAATGCTTTTCTTGTCCACATTATATGCTCTAATGAAACTGTTCACTTTAAATGGTGTCTACATAAAAGCGTTCGGCAAACTAAAAATGGATTAAAACACGTTTTTGTTAAACACTGACTAAACTGCGTTTAAATAACTGGTCTCTAGAGTAGAACGTTTCTTCAACGACTGCCTTTTGAGAGAGAGTGACGTCCTTGCTTAAAAAGATCACCTGATTGTAATAATTATATTCTCACCGGGGCCATCCGCAATCCGCAATGTCAGTAATGCTAGTAAGATATGAGAGGCTAAGCCCGAGGCGGTAGGAGCGAGTTGCTCGTTTTTCGATAGCTACAATCACTGACAAAAGTTTTTGCACATTTGTCTTTAGACAATTTCTTGCTGTAAATCATACAACTTTAAATTCCAGCTCCTCCTGGGTATTACAGCCGACAGTGGTAATGCAACATTTTGGGGCGGGTGGTAAACAAGATTAATTGCGGTGAAAAGAGTGAATCGTGAAGAGAAACTAACCTTGAATAAGAAACCCACAATGCACAGAAACGTACTACAGGTGGATTTCCACTTTCGCTTAATACGCGCGTATATAAAATAGAGGCAATATATAGAAGGTCAGGCGTAAAAGAAAAAGTTGAACATCGCTCAACGAGCGTAAAAATTTGCTAGCGTAGGCACGTGAAAATTACGCGATAGAAGAAATCAATCCTAATAGAATAGGTACGGGCTATAGGCGGCGAGCTGGAGTAACAACATCTTTTTAAAAGACTTTCCTTATTAAAGCTTATTAAGGGTGGATTTCCATTGTCGCGTAATTTTTACGTGCGTAAAATTTACGTTCGCAAATGAAGTAGGGGCAATGTTTGAAAGGTCGCACGTAAACGTAAAATTTGAACTTCGCTCAACTTCACGTTTTTTTAAAAAAGCTCAACACTTTATATCTTGCCTCTATTTTTATTTACGACATAAAAATTTACGTTACAGTGGAAATCTACCATAAGTGACATTAAAACCAGAATGTAATACCGAACCAAAATGCTCCCAACAACGTTCGATGCTTAATGACCTTTATAGAGAGGTTATTTTGGCCTTTGGGACGGACCTTTGAGGTTTTTGTCCAGAGGTTCAATAAAAGTAAACATATTGTCTGTCCGCTAGGACAAAGAACATATTTAGCAGTAGAGTTTCGACTGTAGAAGCAGATAGGCCAGTAAATAAATAATAACCACACTGTTCTTGTCTACTTCAGTTGTTTTTGTAGGGGGGAGGGTAGGGGTGGAGGTGGGTGCTTATTAACTTTTCTTCCCTACAGGATAGGATAGGTGCTTATTCGAGATCGGCTACATTGTAATTCGAGGCTGGGCGCTTCATTGAATAAATACGATATGTGTTAGACTTTATAGTCCTTTATCTCCTGAATTTGCCAAGGAACAGTCAAATGGAGACGCGAACTTAACCCCTCCCCCCCCCGCCTCCACCTTAATCTGCATAATTCTTCAGATCATACTCAGCTTCACCTAATAAATGTTAAATAGCTAAATAGAAATTAAAAATGACACTAAGTGCTGGGTATAACTGGTAGTAGTATAATAGGATGCTCTAAGGCAAATAACAAGAAATAATCTGTGTATTGTTCATAGGTTGATGTTTATAGCTTTGGTGTGCTTCTTTGTGAAATGTGCATCCGGCAACTTCCAGATCCGAGAAGACGTGAACAGCAAGTTCTACTAATGACGAATCGCGCCCTAAGAGGCCTGGTACGGCGATGCCTGCAGGCAGATCCTGAAGCGAGACCAACCATGCAGGATATAATCGATGAACTATCCAGAGCTGTGTAACGTCTATCAAATATTTTGTGAAAATTTTCGCAGTTGATAGAATTGAATTGCTGAAATGTCTATTGCAGGAAGTCGTGCCCAATTGTTTATCGTTACAAAGTAGTGTACAAAAGTCTTACTAGGAAAACAATTAGTTAGGTTAAAAACAAACCTCTTATTGGAAGTAGCGAGGACTTTTCTGTAAAATTTTAGTAACGATACCCAGAAGTAATACAGCTGTGTGTATTTTTTTGTATTTCCCATCGTGGTTAATAGCAAATGCCGTTTTTGGAGTAACGTTGTTAAAAACAAGGTAAATTATAGGTCTGGGAGAAAACCACTGAGACGCTAGTCTATGTCCTAAGCTTGCTTATACGATGCTTAAATTGGAACAATAAAAAATAAATAGCTTTATTTTTCCATATGCAATAGATTACGTTACTTTACAGGGGTGTAGCCAGGATTTTCAAAGGAGGCGGGGGGGGGCTGGGGAGGTCACGCTGTGTGGCCCCCAGGGTACTTACCAGATTGGTATGTCCACATCCTGGCCGTGTTTTAGTTACTACAAGTGACATTGTTTGGATGAGCAGTGAGATAGCTGCATGGATTAATTCAGTTCCACGTAGCATAATATACTCTATTTTACTTGCGAACAAGGAACAAGAACATGGTCCACTGCAGATGTTTGGTCCTGCAAATGGGGTAAGCAACAACCTAGCACTGGAAAAGATTTATTGCATGTTGATTCTTCGGATTCGCAGGTTTTGGCCGCCTGAATTGTAAGGACATAAAACAACTACCTTACAAATGGGGGATCACGGACACCCCAGGACCACCCCCTAGCTATGCCCCTGTTTACATTCATTTTATTATTTCTCCTGAAGAAGTTCATACACACGAAGGAGACAATATATTTTTGAAAAAATACTGTTATAATCAGAATTGAAGATACGAGTAGATATGGCAGTTATTACAAGTTGTAGAATATACAATTAAATACGCGTAGTGGTTACTAAATAGCAGTTATGTTACTGGAGTAGACATGAGTTCCCTATGCCGTTAATAGGTAACTTATTTATGAAGCAAGGTTTACTTCAATTTCTATGTACTTATATATTTATTATGAAGTAGGTTGTAGACGTAAAATTGACGAAAGGTACCGGCAGATATGTCGCCTATATAAAAATTCAATTTAGGCTATATATACCGTTGAATCCATCGAGTAGTAAAGCCCAATAGGTATTTGTAATAAAAGTTTCGTACCCAAAAGGTAACTTACTTATGAAATAGAATTTACCTAAATTTATGCAGTTGTAGTTATGTGCTTATGAAGTAGACAATGTTGAAATAGACAACATCGAGTAAAGAAACAATTGTATCAGTGTTTTGGCTTATGAAACGTTTTACGCCGATTAAATCTGCAGAGTAGCTAGCACATTAAGCGATTGTAATATTAGAGTTTCCTATCCCATAGGTAACTTACTTGTGAAAAGGAATATACCCTAATTCATAAGTTGCTTATGAGGTAGGTCATGCAAATGAAATAGACAGTGTTAAAAAGATATAAGATTAAACCTGCGTAACAGTAAGCGATGGTACATGTAATTAGAGTTATCTACAAAATCAATTGCACATCAATTCAGATTTGCTTATAAATTTAATCATCCGCTTAAAATAGACAATATTAATTAAAGAAACGAGTAGATGTTTCGCTTATATATGGTATACCATAAGAGTTTCCTAATTCAACAGATAACTCGACTTATAAAATAGGATTTTACCCAAATTCGTGTTATTAATTTACTTATAAAGTAGGTCATGTACTTCAAATAGACAGCATTATAAGGAAACGAGTAGTTATATCGCAGAGGCCTCTCTTCTTTCTTTCCCCTTCCCATCGTGCCCTGCGCGCTCTCGTTTTCTTTCTCCCCAGTCCCCCAACAACACAAAGAGGCCTCTGTGGAGGAGACAGTCGCTGTTTTAAAAAACGTTCCTATTCAATACTAGGTTCAAACCATTTTACAATGCGACTGACGGCTAACAATTTGATAATATATTTTGAAACCCGTAAAGACCTCTTGGTTGAACATTAGCCTTTTCTGGAAAATGAACAATCCTCTTTATTCATTCAGGAAGTCCCAAGTAAGATGAGCTGCCGTATCATCACGTCTCTTGTCTTAATTGTGTTCACCTTACCCTAGGCTGAAGGTCAGTTTCCTAGAGTTTGTACATTTCTGACGAATCTGAAAAACAAGAAATGTTGTCCAATCCCAAAAGGATTTAGTGCACCATGCGGTAGCGGTGGAAACAGAGGTACATGACAGGAAATGATCATTCGTGATTGGACCTTCAAGTTCAGTCATAACCAACCTTTCCAGAAAGACGACGAGCGCCATAACTGACCTCTTGCTCTTTACCACAAAACGTGCAAATGCAATTAAAACTTTGCTGGATATGACTGCAGCAAGTGCGAGTTTGGCTACTAATGACTATATCCAGAGAAAAAAACTCTGACTCGCAAAAATTTTCTCAAGTTGTCGGCCGGGGAGAAGGATCAATACATCAGGTACATCAACACGTCCAGGCACTACATAGACGATTATGTGGTGAATTTGACACCATACAGTGAAGAGGTCAACAAAACCGTTAAGTCCAACCGCGACCCGACAGCACTCTTTCACAACGTCAGCAACAATTACTTGTTCGTGTGAATGCACTACTATGCTGCAGGATACACCAACATGACATGACAAGGGCAGATATTGAGTTTGCGCATGACGGGCAGGGGTTTCCTACGTGGCATCGACTGTACATGTTGGCTTGGGGAAAAAAACCTTGCAGGAAATTAGTAACGATGAAAAACTTTGCTATTCCTTATTGGGACTGGACCGGAAGTAAAACACAATTGATCCCGCTATTTGTTCTGAAGAGCTTCTTGATGTAACAAACCAAGCTGATGGAACTGTAAAGGGCAAATACTTTGACAACTAGTACGTCATTTGCAGCACTTCCTGACGAAGATGTGTGATCCAACGAACAAGAAACCTGGTTTAATTTAGAACGGATCAATTAGAAGGAAAACTAACGGAAGAAAAAGTAAGGAAACAGGGATGTACAATGACATTTCCAACCAAAGAAGATGAAATTTGCTCTCCGGTTTAAGACTTTTGACCTGCCACCCTATGGCAAAGAGTCAAGCTGCAATTTTAAAAACATCCTGGAAGGCTACGCCAGTACAAAGACCGGTTATCGTTTGCCAAATGTCCACACCTTACATAACCAGGTTCACATAGTCGTGGGTGGAGTCATGGGGGATGTATCTTCTCCGTCAAACGACCCGGTCTTTCCTCTTCATCATTCCTCTGTGGATCGTATCCGTCTGAGAAATGGCTTCGCAAGTTCAACAAGAACGCTTCGTTTCTTGGAACATACGATGCACGCATCGGACACAACAAAGATGACGTCATTGTACCACTTTATGCTGTGTATACTCATCAACAGACTTTTAAGAAGTCTATCGATCGAGTACGGTTATGACTACGACGATGTCGACGAGAATGGTAAGTACACATGAAGTTTCTACATGACCTTCATTTATTTTTCCTTTACCTTGAATGCGATTTAGTGTAATTGTAATGTAGCCCTTTGAGGGAAAAAAAATTGTCTCTCGAACCCCGCTGTACAGACACCCACCGTTAATTACGAACAGTTTTCTTTTCTCAGGGGAAAGCCCTTTTTTTTCGTTCAATCACCTGCATTTGTTAGTAAAGCTGCATGTTCAATGTTTGATTCTTTCTCCTAATATACAAAAATATGAATTTTTATCTGGTGATTGGGAAAGACAAGAGTGTCCGTTGTCATCTGAGTATGCTCTTTTGTTTCAACCAGACTTTACTTTTCCTATGATCATCATCAGCATCATCATTATTATCATCAATATCGTGATCGTTATCATTACTTATTTTCTTTATTTTGTTGCACAATATACCTTTAAACAGATTGAAAATTTTAAGTTTTTTCCTAATGTGTATAATTCGTTATCTCGCGCTTATTCAGGATAACATTAGATTTAAATAGACCTTTCCAGTTTAGGCTGCGTAGCTGCAGGAGCCCATTGCCTCCAAGCGACCGCTGCGCAGACTATTTTTAGCTTGAATGTACCACGTGATGTTCTCCCGGGAATTTCCCTTTTGTCCTTTCATAAATTATGCATACATATGCACGTGGATGCTCGCGCATAAGGCGAAAATTTCAAAGGGACAGTTCTCTAAAGAACCACCACGTGGTCTGAAATGGGAAAACACAACAAATCATGATTTATAACATCGAACAGTGACAATCGTATCATGAATCTTGTCCCACTGAAATATAACTTCAAAGCATAAGTGTTTCCCTTGTACATGTAACTGAACTGATCAGTGATCGAGATCGATCGAAACATGCCTTGCTCTCTAAAATCAGTAGTTGTTCGTTTGTTACGGATTGTTATTCCAAATATATTACAATTATATTAATTTATATTAATTTAGTACTTTCACTGTCCAATGAAAACTTCAGCAGTGCATGCTGGGATGCGGCTGTGTGGGTTGCTGATGTCATTGATGCCAGTATGGCAGTTATTACTGGGTGACTGAAGATCATAAAGTGAAAAGGAAAATAACGGAACGTAGACAGAGTATAATAGCCAAATATAATATTTAACAATTATTTTTTGAAATCGAGGTGAATAGTGGCATAACATTTACCGAGTCACGAAGTGGCGAGGTAAATATCTCTAAAGCCACTATTCACCGAGATTGAAATTAATAATTGTCTTAGTATATACACACGAAGTGATCTCAGCAAAATCATAGAGGAAACCATTAAAAAGTACGATTTGATTGCCAGATCAGGTGAGCTAGACACGCGAAAGTTTAAAAATAGATCTTTGTAGAATTTTCAAACATGGCAATTCACAGTGCTTATCACTTCGCAAACAACAGCGTAATGACTTAAATGGAACCCCTGAAAGTTTGAATTGTTGCCTTACCTGAGAAGAAAAGAATAGCTTTGTTGTTTTCTGTTGACTGGCCAAGTTGACAGCCGAAAAGGTTTGTTTTGTCGTTCTTCGCATGAAGTACTGACAAAATGGCGATTCGGTTCCTCGAGGTAAGACTTCGTCTTCATGTAGCATTCTTTCTCCTATTTACTTGAAAGGTAGAATTTCTGCAAACATTTGCTTTCAATACAATACAATACAATACAATACAATACAATACAATATTCTTTGTTTAACGAATTGTTGAATAGTCCGAGATAGCGAACCAATCAGATTGCTTAATTCACCAAGATCACTGGGTGTGTATATACTAAAATAGAATATAACATAATAGAGTTGAATGGGTCCTTAGTAAATAAATAAGTAAGTAAATAAGTAAATATTATAACGAAATAATTAGAGGTAGCACTTTCACTAATCTGATCGAAATTTGGAAATGCTGGTTTTTGAAGAAAGGAGAAAACCGGAGTACCTGAAGGAAAACCTCTCAGAGCAAAGGAGAGAAACCAACAACAAACTCAACCCACATATGGCGTCGACGTCGCGATTTGAAACCGGGCCACATTGGTGGGAGGCAAGCGCTCTCACCACCTCGCCACCCTTTCCTTCCGAAAGGAAGTTTACATACAATGTAAGAGTAGGGTTGAGAATATTCAAAACAGATCGAGAGCTAAGCTGAGCAGAGCAGATTCAGAGTAGAACACGAGAAGAGTGCATTTATCGTTCAGTTAATCAAAAATAGAGTGTAAAGGGTTCTGTTATCTAGACCCTGGACTCCTCAAGTGTATGGCTGCGTTTTTCTTTGGATATTTTGAATCCCTAATATTTTGAGCATCCTAGCTACAATGTCGAACCAACTGTATGTCCATTTAAATAGTTTTAGCGCAGTTCTATAAATATAACCTCCCTCGATACCCTTAAAGGTCAATATGTGTATCGTGCAACCCTGCCTGTGTTGTCCAGTACATACAATATGAGAAAGAAAATGCGACTTGACATCAAATTTCGCTTCTCCTTTGTAGAGTCGACATTTTAATACGAGACTCCATTACAGGCTCAAATATATAAAAATCATTTAGACAAAACATAATTACTGGGGTACCTTAAGGATAGCATAGTTTACTGTCAAAGAGGAACTGAGTTTAAACTCTTCTAATTTTCAGTACCTAACAAAATACCTTGGCCTTTTTTTCTTTTTCTGAGGGGCAAATACAGGTCGTCTATTGGAATATTATCCGAACCGGCTAAACAATGAATTTTTGTTAAATGGATAAGCTTGAACTTACTTTTGGCACGTTTATTTGTTAGTGTTTTGATATCTTTTAACCTATATGGAGTACATGAAGAATGGATAAGTTCTTATTACTCTGAGTGTGATGGCAAAGTGTCCAAGTCAATGATATCTCTAGAATAAATATGCCTTCAGTATTAGGAAAAAAAGAGATAGCTAGAACGGTACAAAGCAAGAAAATGATAATTAGTAGATTTAGTGACAAATGTCGTCGAATTCGCCTTTTTGTTCCTTGTAAACTACTGGTTACGTAGTTTCCTTTATATTATACACCGTAAATCCTCTATTAACCCCTCCCTCTCCCACCGTGTGGTTATTTAGTTCAAACACGTTTGAGGTGGAGCTTAATAGAAACAAGGGCTTATTGAGGGGGAGGGGTGGGGCTTTTTTAGTCAGCGAAGATGATGGTATCAGTTCTCTCTTTATAAAAAAAAAAAACTAAAATGCAAAGTGGACAAGCTCAAGTACAAGATATTGGGGGTCATTAAGGGACTGTGCAATAATTGTCAGGGCTGAGAAATGAGTTTCAAAGGGGAAATTATTATGTCGTGCCCCCCCTTCGTTCGCAAAAGCAGAATTAGTTCAGCCCCTCTTCTGATCTCTTCAGAATTTTTACTACCCTCCCCTCCCCTACACCAAATACAATGTAACTGTAGAAGATGAAAAACTTGGAAATCGTCTTCGCTATTTGTCGTCCGACAACCCTGCTTGTGTTGAAAGGTTTCTCCAAGCGGAGTACAAGAAGCCCCATGATGACGGCAACAATAGGGCAGTCAAGAGGGAGACGACTGGCATCTTAGATAAGCTTCATGCCATCGCAGAAAACATAACTAAACATGATGACAGCCTATTTATGGAGGGTGGCAAACTTAAGAATGGCCTAAATTGCCTTCACAATTTCAACAATGAGAAACGACATTATATCAAGTCTGGCGTTGAAAAAGATGTGTTACATCTTGTTGAGGACTTGCACAGATTGATGGCTAAATATAATGCGACATATCAAATTGGCACCAAGTCCATAACATTTGAAGCAAGAAAAAGGAAAGAGCACAGAAAAAAGGGAAAAAGAGGAAGCTCGCAACTAGTGAAAACAGTAGAGAAAAGGCATGCCTTATTTTTCGTTTCCTGGGAGGAGCCGCCCTTGCTGAGGACCTTGAGCCAGACATATTTGGTATTCCCCAACTGGAAAACAATTGATTGTGAAACCCTACATTTCCTTACCTCAAAGACAGACAGGGCATGCTTACGCGACCTTTGCAAGGCAAACTTGTCTGGGCCTCTACACCTGAGGGTGAATAACACTGTCTTATAAGGACAGTAACTAAGTACAAATGGTTTGTTTGGGACGATCCTGTTTTACCATGCATGTGGAATTGTTTTTTTTTTACAATTTAATGCAAAAGCACATGATGTAAAATGAAAGTTAGGCCTCTCCTGTAATTAGGGTACTTTTTATTTGATACCACCCCTATCTTGGCATTATTCTAACTTATTTTTCATTCAAAATATTTCCTCGTTTCCGATTGGCTAAAAGCACACGCATAATTCACCATAACCAGCTACTGATGACCAAATTTGGAAGAATTTTGCGTTTAATGGACCGATGACGTCAAAAGTGCAGCCTTCTTGCAGGTTAATGCACCGTTAACCGAGAAGACCTAGGGACGAGGTTGAGTTGTTTTGTTCGTGAAAGCAAAAATGGCGAACATTTCACTCGTTTCACTAGTAAGAACTAGGCGAAATAATAGCTAAAAACATGGCAAGAACAGCAAGAAGACAACCTAAAGCGCGACATCCGCTATTTGGAGAATGTTTCCGGAGCTGAAAAACCCAAAACGTGCACTATCGAAGATGAACTTAACATCGATGGAGGTAAGCGTGTTTTAGCTATGTTTTTAAACTATGAATTATTTTGAATGAAAAATAAATCAATTATTGAATTCGGCTTTCGTATCATATGAAGAATCATGGAGATCTCGGAGGGTGTTGTCCGTCGAGGCCGATAACACCCTCCTCGATCTCCATAATTATTCATAAGATACTCAGCCTCATTCATTTTTTGTTAATTAATGTCCTCCATCTGGTTTTCGAGCCCTCTCCATGTTTTTATGCTCGGTGCGTTGGGAATTATGCGTGCGAATGGGGGTTACGTAATACGTACCGCATTCAGGCGTGTTCATCACGCTTATTGTTGGGTTGTGTTTA